TCTTGTGCTCGAATACGTAATTTCCTTCCGGATATAGATCAAGTTCCTGATGATGACACATCAAAGCCCAACATTGATATCGTTCATTGAATTTTCAAATCCCAGTCCGAGAAGTTATGATCAGGATGATCTGAAAAAAAAGAAAAAAAGCCACCTTCTTTTGATTTCTTCCAGCACTGGCGAAGTAGCGTGTGTGATATGGGCGCGCAACAGATGGAGAACGATTGAGACGTCTGCCAGTAGAACAGTTTGGGAGCAAAAATAAAATTAAGTTTGTCCTTCCTGCTACTGCTAAATGACAATGCTATGAAACTGAGATCAATATCAATGCAAATGATTTAAGCATTTCGAAAAATGCTCCAGACACTTCATCCTTCCTTTCTTTCTTTTTTTGTTCTTAATAAAATGACACAAAAATATTTTTGGAGACAAAAAAGTGCCCATCTATGTATTTAATGGTAGTAAATTTCTTTATTTTATCACTTAATTTTTCCTACTCTTAAATTAGTCTTGGATTATAATACAACTAGTGATAGAAGAGAATCTTAACAACCATGATCAATTGTTTAGTAGTTCTTCAGTAAAGTACTAAACTTTTTTTATTATTATTATTTTGAAATTGTGTATTACTTTAGGATTTATTAAACAATAATGTTAGAGTTTTTTTTAAAATTAAAAAAAGGTTTCTACAAAAGTAACACAGAGTTATCGTTAAATTATACCTTGAGCGTATTTTGGCAATTAAAAAATTAGAAAAATCTATGGAGTGAGTGTTTATGTCATTTAACTCTTTTTAGAATGCGAAGAATATCATCGACCATTAACAAACTTCTCTACAGCCCAAATAAAATGATCGAATATGAATATTAATTACTTTCCCAAAATGTTGCACTAATTTCGGATTATCATCATTCAAAATGGACAAATACAGCTTTGGCAGAAGTTTTTCTTCTATATGATAGCCACCTCCTCCATCTTATGGTAATTTCACGAGTGTCCTGTCCCCTGATGATACTGACCCCATAATCTTCAATATTGAAATTTGGTGCGAACTTAACTCAAATCAGTTATCACCTCAAGTCGGGAAGCTATGAATCAACAATGGTGCATCAATTTGATGGAACAATCACTGCCTAAACGATAGAGTGAAAAGATGTTATGAAATTCGTTGACAAAGAGAATTATGGAATAGAGAATCTTGAGATGAAGAATGTCGCTGGTACTTACCTTTTTTTTTTCCCCCAAGAGGACGACTAAGTCTAGCTTATGGGCTATTGGCAACTTTGTATGCACTGTAGTAATGGCAGGCAGAAAGTGGGCTCATCCTTCAGTGCCATGGCCACATTATTTTGATTATAAAAAAGTGTTTGATCAACAATACGTACATGATACATACATGGTGAATACTGATTGGTTGGGCTGGTTGCTGATTCCACTACTACTATTTTGATACGAACTCTTCTCCCGTCTCTCTCGTTTTTGCTTTTTAAACCGTCAACACCAGGCCCGGATTTCCTCAACCACAAAACTAAGCTGTGCGGTGCCGGTGACCCGTGACCCTACATGGATAACGCTTTGATTTCCTTTTTCCGGCACTTTTGGGCGGGCCCACTATCTTGTGCCAGGCACATTTCGAGGACCCACCATACCAACCAATCCTGAATCAATCGCCATCCAGATCCAGCAGCTACCGGCACATTTCGACCCGAAACCCATATTTTATTTTTTAAGCGGGCCTCTGAAACTTAACATCTGCTTCTTCTTTTTCGTTTCAGGCATCATGATTCAAGATCATCGTCAAATGTTTCGGCTATTAGTCAATTTGCAAAGTTTCCCTTATCGTTAGAGCAGCCTCTTCTGATAGAATATAACCATTCTAGTACTGGTAACTGGTAAGTATTCTCTCTCTTCATGTCTTCCAAACGCCGCCATTGAATTGGTAACGACGTCAGCTGAATGACTGTAAAATTTTTTTTTATTCTGCTCTTAAATTTCTCTTTTTTCTCTTTATGAGATTTAGAGTTAGAAGACATTTTGTTAGACTTATGAACAAGGGAGCCCCGAGGCAACGAAAGCAGGGTAGACAACAAAAAGGCGAGCAAGTAAAAGCCAGCAAAGTGGTAAACCCAACCAGTCAAGTATTGACTCCTGGCAGGGCCAACCACCGGCCACCGGTTGATTCAACGCCGGGTCAAGCTGGCATCCAAATACAACGAATCCTGTAATGCAAGTCAAAGTCGAAATCAGATGGGTCAATTGACCGAATCCTGAGCATTTGCGTAGTGGAATTTGAGCTAAACAGGACCCATTTTGATTTTTGAAGCAAGCATGATGTAATCTTTAGGGTGTGGTTAATTTCAATTAAGACGTCTAAACAATACAAGGTTATTGATTAGCTAAGCATTAAGTGTTTTGACTCACCCACATTGTGTGATTTGAGTTCTTCGATTTAATACAGTGTCTTGTTAGTTTGAGTTTGTTCAATTGTCAGATTTTTTTTTCCACAACACTTAAACTACATTTTAACGAGTGCTTCAAAGGCTGGATGGTAGACAATCACCAACAAAAAAACAAAAAGAAAGACTGTATCGATTAATGATATATTGATCAATGTTTTGTCAGCAGGTACTTATCTGTGTCGATAGTGATTCAGTCCTTTTGAATTTCTTATTTGGTCCGGTTGGATCACCCTTTTTCAATCCTGTATACTGGGAACAAGTCAAAAAATAAAAGAAAGAAAAGAAAAGTATAGCCCCTTGTTTTACTCTTTTCATTGCTTCTTCACCACATCTGGCTATATTGCTACTATTTCATCAAAGAAATGATTGCAGAGAGAAAAAGGAACGGGAGACTGATACAATTCTATGCACATGATGGTGTTTCCCAGCAAGCTGCAAAATAAAAATGTTTGAAGACTTAGCAGAGTAAGCAGTTAACGGTGACGGCAACTCGGTCACTATGGTCCCAATAATGCTAAAAATTTCAGTATAGAAAAACATTTTAGAATCTAGCTCATATTTGGTCCTCCCCTCCATGTACGACTTGTATTTGTTTGGTGCTTGCTTGCTTCCTTGGCCAATAAACAGACTTGATTGAGAATTTTTAGAAATGTGAAGGTCTAATTAGCAATTTAACGAGCTAGTGATCAACGGCCCGGAAAACGTTAAAGGAGGGAGGCGTGCGCCGTAGGGTCAACGATTCCATCATATCTGCTTACTACAGTCAACTCAACTCAACAACCAGACGCTGTTGTGTCCCCTAATCACCGAATATGATGGGAAGTGCATGGATCTTAGCCTTCCATTCCTCCCATTCACTCTACACCGTCTGATCAAATCCGCACGCTTGTTTACTTTTTGGATTTACACAATAATTACTGTTAGATATGGGCGTGGTTAAAAAAAAAAAAAAAGTAGAGCCATTGAGTAAAAAGACAAATAAAAGATAAAAACAAAAAAGGAATAAAGAAAAAGCAGAGCTGACAATTGGTTTTTTAACTCTTTACGGTTGCTTCTGAGGCATCTTTTAAGTTTGGTCTGCTCTGGTTGTTCTACAATTGATCTTTTGTGTCAGTGTTTCCAGTGACTGTAAAATTTTCTAGGATTTCGCACGTTTTCACCCTGCCGCCTTCAGTAAAATCGCATGTTGTTTTATTAATTTGCTGATAAATACGTTACGGGTTTACCTCGGGCTTTTCCCATCTTATTTCTCCATCTCCTATTCCGTGCAACTGATTCCTCCTTTTAACCTGCGCCGCCTGGTGGACGGTGCACGTTAGCTGCTGTTGATTAAAGTAGATTAGGGAGATAAGATAAATTATTAGTATTCGATTTGATAATTTTATTTTTTTTCTGGCTAAAGGTTGTCTCCTGTCGGTGGGTTTGCCGGATGGGGTCCTCGTGTCCGTGGCCATTCGCGGTCACGAAATTTGGTGGCTTTGTCTCAAAAGATATGTACTTAGCCGTATTTATCAGCATTTTACTAGTAATTAATAATTGACACTAATAACATGTCTGGAAGACTAGACCACGTCAGCGAACTCGTAAGATTATTAACAATTCTATAAATGTTGCCTTAACCTCAATTGTAGCTTGGGTTGAAAGACAAATAAAGCAACTCAATACTTGATTTGAGCTCGACATTATTATTAGACTTTGTTGACGTTGTTAATTTTTTAATAAAATATCATAATTTCATTAAAATGTGTATTAATGATAAAAGTTACAACATCAACCATACATTGATATCAAATGTGAAATTTTTTTTCATAATTGATAAAATTTCAAACTCGGCTCGATGAGCATCACATTGGAAATATACATATACACATTTCAAATTACTCGGACATTGTTTAGGTTTGTTTCAATAAATAAACAAACTAAACTTGAATAGGCAATTTCAAGTTTGTTACCCCCTCATAGCGCTCTTTTTACCTATGTTTATTTTGCAGCGATAAGGAGATAAATTGAATTTGAACATGAACTTTTAGCGTAGCTCGTGCCAATTACGAGTTTATTTGAAATATGATTTAAAATAATTATTTTAACACTTTTTATAATGTGTTGTATGTGAGATAAAAAAGTTAATAAAAAAATAAAAAAGATGAGTTGAAAATTTTATTTGCGATGAAAAAAATAAATTTTGTACAAATAGTAATTATCCAAACACACCCTATGTTTACAAAATATCATTTGTATACTTTGCACTAACATAAATCCTTCTTACACAACAAATTACTTCTTGAATTGTATTTCAACTTTTCAAAAATTTTAAAATATTACATAATAAAAATGATATATCTTTCTAGTTATCCACAAAATAGCACTCTTTCCACTAACTATATCCTGCAAATTATCAAGGGGACTTGGTTAATTTTATGTTTACTTTTCTGGGAGAGAGTATAATAGTAACATGAATAATTTTTCCTATGTTAGGACTGTTTGATTTTTGGCTAAATCTATTATCGTGGGACAGTGGGAGGTATAAAATTGAAATCAGACAAATGGAAAAGGCTACAGAAAGGCCAAAGAGGCTTCTTTTCTTTTCTGCCATCAAAAGAACCATCTCTTTTTGCTGCTGAAGTGCAGAACCAAGAGCAACCACTCCCTTACTTTGTAGCATATTTTTGCTTCAAGCATTCAAGCTGCCTTCTTTCTCTCCATTTCATTTCTCCTTGCTTCATTCCATTCCTCTTCAACCTTCATTTTTTGCTCAAGATTTTAATGTCTCCACCACAGGAGCAATATTACATAGGCTTATCAGAGGCTTCTTCAGTTGAAAGAAACTCTGACAAGATCTCGTCTTCGTCATCTTCTTCCTCTAATATTTGCCCGGAGGATGAAGGAAATAATGCCTTGAATCTGAAGGAGACTGAGCTGAGACTTGGCTTGCCTGGTTCACAGTCTCCTGAAAGGAAAGCTGGACATGGGGTCTCCCTATTTGGAAAGGATTTAGAGGAAAAAACTAGCGGGTTTAAGAGCTGTGTCTCAGGGGCTAAGAGGGGTTTTTCTGATGCCATTGATGGATCTGGAAAATGGGATTTGAGGATGAAGGTTAGTTCTGATGTGTCTTTTGGAAAGACTGAGGTTTTGTTCTCTCCTGGGGGAGGGAAGGATGGTGCTTCTAAGAACATTAATACTCTGCAATCATGTTTGCCTGGGCTCCCTGGGAAAGAGGCAGGTGCTCCCCCTGCTGCTAAGCCTGTTGAGGAGAAGAATACCTCTTCTGCTAAAGACCATGGCAGCTCTCCTGCTTCAAAGTAAGTTTCCCTCTCCTCCCCTTTTCCTTCTTTGTTGTTTCCCCTTTCTAACGTTTACCGCCTACTTATGTCCGTGTGTCTAGCTGTTTCTTTTCTTTTTCATTTTTCTTTTCCTGCTCAAAAAAGTGATGATTAGAGAGATTTTGTATGCTGTAACTTACATGTGGGCTTACGAATGCATTTTGTTGGTTTATGCATAGTTTCGTTTGTCGAGTTTCTTGGGCTAAATAAGAATTAATAATAGTCTTTGCACGACCCAAGCCGATTTGCAAGTAGGCTATTATCTAGCTTTGTTGAACTTCAGTTTTCCGATGGATTATTCAGAAAACATAAAAAGGTGAAGCTCTCAATTCATATCCTTTTGAAGATCGCCAATCTTGGCAAATCAGAGGTGAACTCTGCCCTTCTTCAGGGATACCCTAAAAATTGAAGTACTCCAGTAATAATCAGTGAGTCTTCTAGTTTGTTTGATTGCAGCATTAGTATTACTTTTACTTGGTTCTACTAAAAAAAGAAGGCAGCGTGTGTCATAATGGATACATTTTACTTGCGCCTGTGATTGCCCTTTTCCCTGTTTCATGTTCAGAATCCTTTGGGAGCTCTTAATGCATCTTATTTATGTGCTCCTGTCCTTTGAGTTATTGTCACATGTGATATATTGCAACGCTTTTAAGTCACTCAGCACATATGATCTTCTGATAGGGCACAAGTGGTAGGATGGCCACCAATTCGATCTTTCCGAAAGAACACCCTTGCTACAAACTTATCAAAAAATAGTGATGCTGAAGCAAAATCAGGACCAAGCTGCCTTTATGTTAAGGTCAGCATGGATGGTGCTCCATACCTTAGGAAAGTTGATCTCAAAACATACTGCAACTATGCAGAACTCTCATCTGCTCTTGAGAAGATGTTCAGCTGCTTTACAATTGGTCAGTCTCTAACTCTGTCGGACACACAATCACACGGATGAACAGTTACACAGACGCGGAAACATATTCATCTGCACAATTTATCATTTCTGAAAGATCGAAATTTTGATTGCCCATGAAGGATTGAAAATTTGAGCAGCAATAGTTCTAGTCTAATAATTAGCACCTAAAATTTACATTTTTCTCAGATTAGGGATGCTATTTGCCTCCCTTTTTCTTTTTCTTTCTTTGAGATTCTTAGTATAAAACTGGACATCAAGTAAGCTAGATTTAGTTTGAGAATTTTTTCATAGCAATCTGCCTGCCTAGTTATTTCATGTGTTGGTGCCAGAACATCATCTTCCCGTTGTGTGTGGTTAATTTGTAGTTAAAATGTTATTAGTCATGTTCTAAAATCATGTATGACAGTGATGATTGACTTGTTTTCCTCGCTGTAATTCAGGACAGTGCACTTCTAATGGACTTTCAGAGCAAGAGGGGCTCAATGAGAGGGGCTTAAAGGATCTCCTCCATGACTCTGAACATGTGCTAACCTATGAAGACAAGGATGGTGATTGGATGCTAGTTGGTGATGTTCCATGGGAGTAAGTCTCAGTCTCAATTAAATTAGCTTCATAAGTCTGTAGAAATTAGTATATGTAACTTGTTAAATATGGTTTTAGTTGAAGAATAGTGCCTTAGCCATCATGGGAGGAGTTGTGATGGATAATGAAATATTGTCTGAATTTCCTTCTCATCCTCTTCTTTTCCCTCTCTTTAGCCTCATGTGAGTTCTTGGTTTTTCTTTAAGCCTTCTCTGGTGATTAAGTTAGGAGGATTGGGAGTCATATCATTGATATGAATATTATAAGTTTTTTCATGAACTTGCTACTTCTGAAGAAAATTGACAGTTTATTTCCTTCTTGTTGGTTTCTGTAGGATGTTCATATGTTCATGCAAGAGATTAAGGATCATGAGAGGGTCAGAGGCAATTGGGCTGGGTACGTCCAACTCATGAAGGCTTCCATTTGATTGATATATTCCATTTTTGTCTTAGTTTCTCATTTGCTCTAGAATTCTAAGGCAACAATGGTTTCATATGAGACTATACTTCTTGTAAAGGCCATTAGAAATGATGAACTTTGCTCAACTTGGCGATCTATTACAATAGGTTGAATAGCTAGCTCTGAAATATGTTGACCGACAAGCGGCTTACATCTATTCTGTGTTTCGTGCAGCTCCGAGGGCTATGCAGAAGTTCAAGAACCAAAGTTAAAAAGTTACAAAAAGTTCCACAAATGGGGGATTTTGCTGAAGCTTTCTTGATATTTTGGCTGGGTTAAAGTGTTAGGTTTTATTAGATGGAAATATATTGTAACGAACAGCAGCACAACTGGAGAAAGCCCAGATATCTTGTTTCCTCCTTTTATTTAACTTCTTGAACAGAAATCAGAATGTAAATGAAGTGCTTGCTAACAGCAAATCAGTTTTACTGTTACCTTCCTCCCTTTGTCGCATGATGATGTTTATTCACTTGTTGGAGATTATTTATTCTTGTTGCTCGGCCAGCTTGAGACAAATGCTCTGTTTGGATTCTCCATTTTTTGAAAAATAAGTTTTTTTTTTATATACAATGTTACAGTAATACATAAACAAAAACAAATTCAAAAACATCACATTCATTCTTTATATCAAAAACAACTCTATATATATATATATATATATATATAAATCTACACCATCTTCTTCTTCTATCCATCACCACCAACATCTTCTCCTTCCTCCTCTTTCTTCTCCCTCTTACTCCCTCTTTCTTCTTCCTCTTGTTCCTCCTCCCATACTCCCTTCTCCTTCCCCGTCACAACCCTCCTCTTAAGGTCCCCCCTTCTCGGATCTGGCCTCAATCTTTGGTTGCAACCAAAGGCTGTGATTTGGAAGGGGAGGGGAGGAGTGCGGAAGGGGACGAGGTGAGAGAGGGAGGAGAAGAGATAGGAGGAGGAAGAGGGAGGGGAAGGAGAGAGGAGGAGGGAGAGAAGGCGTGGTGGCGGTGGGTAGTAGTGTTAATTTTTAAAAAATATCCTAAAAATTTTAAGTTTTAAGAACATTCCAAAATATGTCTTAAAAACATTACAAAAAATATTTATGGGAAAATTTTTTTATATAAATTGTTGTAATAAAATATTTCAAAACACAACTATTCCAAACGAAGTGTATTAGGTTGTGTACTGTGAATTGATTTTGGTTCAAAAATTTTCTGAACGAGTTGCAACAATTCATTTCAAAAAATTTCTCACTTTTATTATTATATATATTTTTGCATATACACGAAACAGCGGTGGGATGGAATTTAAGGATAGCTTGATCAGGTAGTAATAAAAAGAAGAAGAGGGAAAGTCTTAAAATCGCATGGTAATATGCACTTAACAAATAAGCGGTAGAAGGGAGCTCCGCTTCCAATTAGTACTACCACGACATAGGATATAAGTCTGTGATTAATTAATCTTCTTAAACTTTAGGTTCCAACAGTGATTAATTAGTCTGCTCTCCTCAACACTTCACTAATAAAGAGAGTGGAGGAACGAAAATGACGAGTACACCACACAAGATGCTGGAGAGGGCACTCTCGGTATCGACACGAAGGGCGGCGCAAGTGAATGATGAAGTGGAAGGCGACGAAGAATCCGGCGCCGATGAATCCAAAACCCGGAAGCACGCTTCCACTGCTGCAATGCGGCTTACCAATTACTTGACCCGGACTGGACATTTATGGCCCATTCTCATTCTAGGTCTTGTGGTTATCGTGATTTGCTCCATCTTCGTCCACACCCGTGATTTGGTCTGCCTCAAGGCCGCTTCGTCCGATCATATATCTCGGTTACGCTTCTTCGGCTTCGATGACCTCGAGTCGGATTTCGGGTCCCTTGGTGTTCCCTGGTGTAAGTTCTTTTTCTCCCTCTCTTTTCAGGGATTTTTTTATGGTTTTAAGGAAACTTTGTTAATACAGATCTGACTTGATTAGTTTTGTTGTTAATCGTTTGTGATATATGTGGATTTGTATTTTGAGAAAAATTTCATCTCTCTTGAGGGTTTCTTATTAGGATTTGCCTGACTAAAGGTGAGTTATTAATTTGCCAATCAATTGTGCGGGAACCTTTGGAGCTGCGGTTTCGGTATTTTTTTTGAAGGGGCAGCGGTCCCGCCCCCCGGGGGGGGGGGGAAAGAGGGGTTAATCAGGCTTATAGAGAAGAAAAATCGAGCTGTGCCTGAGTTATATCATTCTTCTTGCTTGGGAATATGGGGTTTGAAGATAAAATGTTTGGTCATTGTCCAAAAGGATTAAGTAGAAGAATAATTCAGGGTCTAACTTAGTACTTTGTTACTGTTCATTTACCTGTGTGCGGCAACCATTACTTGATCCTACAAGCAATAGTTGACACGACTTGTTAATTGCTGCCTTAGGTGTACTAAAGCCGCTCAACTACTATTATCCGGACCTTTTATGTTGGCCTTTTTACTTTTTTTTTTTCTCACCGTTCTTCTCCTTCAGGGACTTTGTTCCTAAATGTGTTGCGAACAAATCAGTAACCAATTAGCACAATTGAGATTAAACTCGTCGTTTTTATCACTTTGAGGATTAAGTTGAGAACAGAAAGAAATGCTTATATAGTTTTCATCCGTTTAATTGCTATCCTTGTCAAAAGGCAGATCGAAACAAGGAAAAACTGTTGAATGGACAATGAAGGATTTACTCAAAGGTTTGGAGGAGTTTGTGCCTATCTATGAAACTCGACCAATAAAGAACAACATGTATGGCATGGGCTTTGACCACAGTTTTGGGCTTTGGTTCATTGCCCAGTGGCTGAAACCAGAATTGATGATTGAGAGTGGTGCCTTCAAGGGACATTCAACATGGGTTTTACGGCAAGCAATGCCTGATACACCAATTGTATCGCTTTCCCCTCGCCATCCTGAGAAGTACCTGAAAAAAGGGCCTGCTTATGTTGATGGGAATTGCACGTACTTTGCTGGAAAAGACTTTGTGGATTTTGGCAGTGTTGACTGGGGCCGAGTGATGAAGAAACACAAAATAAAAGATCTCACACGGGTTCTTGTCTTCTTTGATGACCATCAGAATGAACTGAAAAGGTGATCATGGTTTCTGCAATTTCGGATTGCACTTTCTAGTTAGAACTTGGATTATTTACGATCAGCAATCCACTATCCAGTTATATCCTGCAGGCCGAGTTTATCAAAGCCCTGATCTTTATTTTTCTGTTTACTTTTTCATATGACTTGTAGGTTAAAGCAAGCACTCAAAGCTGGCTTCAGGCATCTGGTTTTTGAGGATAACTATGACACTGGAACAGGGGATCATTATTCCTTCAGACAGATATGTGATCAAAGTTATATTAGAGGTTGGTTCTCACCTAGTCTTCTTTGTCTTGGACAGATGAATTGTTGTGGTACATATGAATTGTTATGAGATGAATTGTTCTCACCTAGTCTTCTTGTCTTGGACAGATGAATTGTTATGGGACACATGTTATAGAACTTCATTCTTAAGATGAAACTTCGCCAACTCAAATGTAAAATCAATTTTGTTAAATAACTTTATTTAATGCTTAACTATGTAATTTTGCCTGTGCTTTATTGATCTATTAAGCAAGCAGAAGATTCTTACTGGCCATGTCACATTTGAGATTGATTTCATTTCCTAGCATCTTATGAAGAATAAAAAGGGTTATCCTGTAACTAATAAAAACATACACATGAAAGGCTACGCAATATGGAAAGCTTCTTCTTCTTCTTCTTTTTTTTGTTTTGTTTTGTAGGATTTATCTTTTCTGCAGTGTTGTCAGTTAACAAAATATAGAGCCTAATTGAGTACTCTTCCTCAAGGATATGTGGCAATCATTGCTGTCCCATTTTGTAATCTTTTCTACCCAAATCTAGCTCTACATGTTTGCCCCTTCATGGCCTCGATCTTCTGACCTATTAAGTTATATCTTGTTCGGGTCTTGTGAATCATCCTCATACATGCATGTGTGTTAAGTCATTTGTTATTACGCTGCTGGTGCTTCCAAATCATCCATATGTTCATCAGTCAATAAAATACTGTTCAACTCTGCAGCTTACTGTGTTTCTGGTAATAGGACTGTGTTAAGATTTTAAGGATTCTTTTCTAAATGAGGAATAAATTGAAAAAAGAGTACACATTTTGCGAGAGTGCAGAAGGATCAGAAAAAAGACAGCCCTCCATGTTAGAGCATTTCCCTTCACATGAGAATTGCTTTGTTGATATGTTCATCACATAATGCAAGTGTTGAAGGGTGGTTAATCATTTTCATGCTGTAGATAAGCATTGATTTGCTTGTATTGTACATTAGATTTTTTTTAATGTAAGCATTTCGAACTGGGGATGTTTAGAATATTGACGTTGCATTGCTAAGTAGGTATTTTTTTCTTAATCAGTGGACATAGTTGTGCTTTTCTTCCAGGTGGTGGCCATAGCTGCTTTAGAGATGGTGACGAAGCTAGGATAAGGTTTAGAAGGAAGAAATTCTGGGAAAAGGCTGTGGATATAGATGAACTATGTGGGCCAGGTGAGGCATGGTGGGGTGTAAGAGGGCAGATGCGCGATGATTTTAATCACAGTAACAAGGCAATAACATACTCGCAACATTTTCAGAACAGCAGGTTTGTAGAGTCGGTGCTGGATATTTATTGGGAGCTGCCCCCTGTTGCTGGTCCTTCACTTACCCATCAAACAAGATATGATCCAGCTCGGGTTCCCAGTCCTATTGTTGAGGATGGGAAATACGGCTTATTCCGGAGGCTTGGATTAGGTCGACTAGAAACATCTGTATTTAATGGATATACTCAGATGGTATACCTCCAGATTTCTGAACAAGACTCTTAGGGCTAGTTTGGGCCATTTGTTGTATTTTTTTTTTCCTTTTTTCAGAATAGAGCCTAGATTCTAGTTGACGTAACAAGTTGACTTCCTTGCGCATTTCCTGATAGACCTTGGATGCCTCGTCTTAATTTCTTAGTTATCACTGCACCAGAATCTGTGCTAGCAGGTAATTGCGGAGTGTAGACGGGCAAAAATGCAAAAGGAGAAGAAAGCAGTTGTGCATCGCGGTCAACTTTCGAGACATATTATTAAAAATTCAGGCCAATGTTTGTGGTTGATCTGAGGCGGAGTCAAATCTTTAAATTCTTCTAAGCAGGGCTAATGGTGTAATCTAAGTTTAACTTATGGTGCCTCTGAAGTTGGTATAACATGGCCATCGTGCGTTTGTTACGATTGGAAGTTCTTTCTTCTTTTTCTATTATCGCGCCATTTTTGTTTTAAACCTTTGAATGCCAATTAGAGCTGTTAAGCCAAACTAGTAGCTCGAAAGTTCGTTAGAGTTCGACTCGATAAGGCTCGAGCTCGACTCGTTAATTTCAGTTGAACTCGAACTAGAAATATACTCATTTAATTATCGAGCCGAGTAAGCTCGAATTCTCTTTT